CAGTCCCACTGGAACGAGGCCCTCTGGCTCTTCGCCACCAGCGACGCTTCCCTCCAGCCTTCGCCCAAAGCCCCCCACCAGGAGGCTGAAGCAGACCCCAAGTCAGAATTTCTGGCCCCCTCCAACCTACACAAAAAGACCCCAAAGGGGGAGACTCTCTGCAGCAACACAAGCGTTCATGGCACGTATCCAGCCCAGGGGGCGTAGTTTGAGGACCCCTGATTTACTGCGATATAAAAAAAATGCAAATAATTTTTCTGCGGACCACCAGTGATCCACGGATCATCAATTGGTGACCACTGCTCTAGTTCAACCCTCTGCGCCTGGCACAAGATCCTATACCAGCGGTCCCCAACCTTTTTGGTGCTAGGGACCAGTTTCATGGAATTAACCCTTGACAACTACCAAGGCAGGAGGATTATGACTCCATATTCTTTTGGAAGAGCAGAATAAAAGTTATGTCAACTCTGTTGAAAGGCAAGATGTGTGCGACATATTAGAAGCAGCCATGCTGTAAATAAATTCTCTTAAGTAGTTCTGTGTGTGACTATTGCACAACCTGACTGCAATAAATACTTAAATCTTTCCATTCTCTTTGCAGAGGAATTTTTTTTGTACAAACAGTGGACACATGTCCTACCAAACTTGTAAAAAAGGCATTTGCTTGCTCCATGTAAAGATCAGCGAGTTTGAACTGAAGCTCTTCCTCCATTTTCAGACCATCTAAGGATAATATTCCTATTTGTTTTCAGAACTTAATTAATGGACACGTGTGTGTTATATAAATACCTGTTTATGATGGGCTAAGACTCAGGGAGATCCAGATTCAAAATGCCAAGATGCCAAAATGCCCATGGGTGTCAGCCAAATCCATCTCACACGCTTGTGAGGATAACACAAAGTGATCAAAGCACATCAGTCCCCAGTGTTTATGTCGATGCAACAAACGGATAACAACAAATGAAAACTAACAACAGTTCTACCATGAAAATATAAGCCCCAATTGAGGAATACTTGTCAGAAGACCAGTGAGATTAAACATGGAACGTGGAAATTTAGACCAGACGGATGATTTCAGACATCAATTCGAAGCAGGGACTAGTACATCAATTAGGTGTGGCTGTTTTTAAAGCTGTGGAACATGTGTACTACCACTGATGTTCCAGAGAGGGTTCATAAGATGTTCAAGTACAAATGGAAATTTTGTGCTTTTCCTGGAGAAGGAAAGGCCTGGTTATTTGGATCAGGTTTTTAAAAAAAATGCAATTCTGATTTATTTATTTTTTAAGCAGGTTATTCCTTCCCAGCTCTAAGGAAAAAGCTTTCTAAAAATACTGCCCACAAAACAGCCGGAATTTATCTAGGCAATCGTCAGGAATTAAGACTGACTTGAAGGCAAAAGGAAAAACAACAAATTCCAAACCTTTCCAACGGGTTAGAAATGGTTTTGAAAAAAAAAAAAAGCACATCTAATAAGAACCTGGGCTGATATAGTTTTCTAAACACAAGATTCCCAAACACGTCAATTTGGCCTAGTGGTAAAGGCAGGAGACTCTGGGTTCAAATTCTGCCTTAGCCATGACAAGGGGCAGGATTACTCGTTATTAGGGGGAAAATAGGAGGAGGAAGGCGCTACTGAAACTTTGGTCACTAAATGAATGGTTGTTAAGTCGAGGACCATCTGTAGTTCCCATCCTCAAAGACATGATGTGACCTCTGATAAAAACTTCTACTTACATAGGTATAGGCAGTTTTCACTAAGAGCCGGCATATGTGTAACTTTCAGTTAGCAATTGGCTGGGTCTACATAGAGACAGAAACGCATCTTTTTATAGGGACGTGGTGGCTCGGTGACTAAGATGCTGAGCTTCTCGATCAGAAAGGTCGGCAGCTTGACGGTTCGAATCCCCAGTGCGGCCTAATGGAGTGAGCTCCCGTTATTTGTCCCAGTTTCTGCCAACCAAGCAGTTCGAAAGCACGTAAAAAAATGCAAGTGGAAAAATAGGGATCACCTTTGGTGGGAAAGTAACAGCGTTCCGTGTGTCTTCAGGGTTAAGTCATGCCGGCCACATGACCACGGAGACACCTTCGGACAGCGCTGGTTCCCTTTGGCTTTGAAACAGAGATGAGCACCGCCCCCTAGAGTTGGGAACGACTAGCACATGCGTGCAGAGGGAACCTTTCCCTTTACAGAGAGAGATTATCTCCTAATTTTAGGAATCATAGCTCTGAAAAAGTTACTTTATTCCCAGCAATCTCTCCTCCTTGTGCCTTTTCTTAGAATCCAGTTAGAGAGCCTTACCCTGGTCTACATTATCAATTATGACCGCCA